CAACTCCTATAGGCATCCCCAATGGTTCCTGCACAGCTCTTCATTCCTTGTCTCCTTCAGTAATATTAATAATTTGAAAAAATGTTGAGGTGCCAGTTTATCTTCCCTGGCTATGTGCCTACAGCTGATCAGCAAGAAAAGAAAATGATTCAAAGGGATAGAGGGGAGAGAAAAAAGCAAGGCTAGAGTTTAAGGTGGGAGGAACATGAAGTAAAGGGATGGGGTATGATAGAAATAGCAAGGCTAGATGCTAGAAACAGGAATGGCTAGGGGATAAATGGGTGAATGGGAGAGAATGAGAAAGATTAGGGAGGTGGGAAAGAAGAGGCTGAGGACAGGCAAGGGAGAGAAATAGCCAAGAAAGGGACTGGGAGCGAACAGACTGTGTGTGTGGGGGGGGGGGGGGGGGGGGGGGGGAAGAAAAAAAGCGAAAAAGGGGGGGGGGGGAAAAAAGGGGGGGGGGGGGGGGGGGGGGGGGAGAGAGAGAGCAAGCACAAAGAGGAAAGAACTGTGAGGTGAAGAGACTGGGGAAGCATGGAAACAATTCGTTCCATTTATCCCTTCCATCCAGCCTCTAGCCTTGATCTTTCTCTCTGCCCATCACCTCTTTACCAGCCAGAGCACCATGACAGCTGTTAAGTAACTAATCACATCCTCCAAAGGAGCTATCAGATCCTCCAAAGGTAACCACAAAACCTTCTCAAATTTCCAAATCTGCCTACCACTCCAAAAAGGTTGGGGATCTTTACTTTATTCCCTGTAAGGAGAAAATGGGATAACTCCATGTGGGCCCCTCTCAAATTCCCAGAGCACTGATTGAATGCAAATGTGGTGGATGATGGATAAGAGACAAACAGACAGATGTTAAGTGCTAGTCTTATATTCACAGAAAGGCACCTATAGGTGAATAAGTTGCCAATGCCTCTGATCATTGCTGTCTCCAGGATTACTTCACAGTTCAGGATTACAGTTTTGAAAGACAGCTCTCGCTGCATGCTAGTTTCTGCAGTACCCTTGTGAAAGTCAATGTGATCTGTTAGAACCATCTGCAAGGCTGTAATAAGAGTTCATCCATGCAGGAAACGTCCACTGTGTTACAATTACCCGCTGAGTTGTCTGTGGCAAGCTACAGCTGCAGCACAAGTCTTGCCAGGTTTCCGTGTCACATGATTCAAACAAAAGCCACCCATATGGAAGGATGCTGTAGATTTGCTTATCAACATGCTCATCCTGTCGTGTTTCAAAGTGAGAAAAAATAGCATCAAATCTCCTCTTCTCATTTTTTTTTTGAACTGGGAAAAATATTTTGAAATGCAGGGTCTCATCTGATTTCAGAAACACAAGGCATACATCAGGGTCTGGATAGGGGATGCCACATACATTGTACTGAGTATCAGGCTGATTTTGAGAAGCAACCTAGGGTGGCCGGAGGCCATCCTTTGCAAAGGACACTTCTCGGTGGCAGTTAGCACTTGAAAATCAGGTTGGTATGACACCCGGTCTCCTCATCACAGACTTCACCCGTATAATGGGGTGAACTGTATATCTATTTACATTATATTGCTTGGATCTAAATTCATATTCCTGTATTAGGGATGGTTGAGAAGTTCATCCCATTTTAATGTATTTATCCAATTCAGTCCCAAATGCAATTTGCAATCAGAAAGCCATACTTGTATGACCTTGTGATGCCTTATATAAGCGCATGTGTGTGCACACACACAGACAGACAGACAAAGAAATACACTTTAGTTGCCAGTGTGTATCCAAGCAGGCCATTGCACAAGCACCATTGCTGATTCTGTTCCACCAGTGACTCATTGCCAGTTCCACTCCATGGGTCGCACCTCTGCTTGATCAAAAGGGTTTATTGATTACTTTGGGAATTCCCAAAACAAGTGGAAAGACTCATTTCTGGATTGACACAGATGAGAAGAGTTGATTTTTATAAGCTTTGATATGTCTCATTCCAGAAACAGGCATTCTGTCCATTTTGATTCATAGAGGAAATGCTAAATTGTAATAGTGCAAACACATCTTGCAAGGTGGAATGCCACTGAAAGACCAAAGTCCTTCAGGCAGTTCTTGAGAAACATAACATGAAACATGAACACCATAACCTTCAGCATGCTAGAACATAGTGTAAGGCCTTTAAGAGCAATCCAATGCTCCTTGAGGTGGATGTAGATATGCCTCCAAACTCAGAGGCTTGTGTGCATCCAAGGGCAAGGCATGGCACCTCACTCCATTTTAAAGGCATCTAGATTTAATTCAGGGTAGTGGGAAGGAAGGCGGGTAGGGCACTGATAGCAGTCAACATAAGATGATGGGCCCAGACTCTTCCCCTCTTCACCCCACCCCAGCACATGCTGAAAAAAGAAAACGACCAGGAGCATTTATGAGATCCTTTGTGAACTATCATTCATTTCTGATGAGCTGATTGGCCTTCTGATCCCAACATTGCAAAGCCTAAATTCACTTGATCTGAGAAATGCAGCCAAGATCCACTGCAATATTAGAAGATGCTAAGCTAAAATTATCAAGATCATTCACCAATTTATGCACTAACAAATTTTGGTACCCTGAGCAACCTCATGGGTTTTCCACATGGTCCATATAGCTGCTTCTTGCATAAATTTAGGAATATTTGAAAGAGATCAAATTAACTAGAGTTTCATTTGATTTTGTTTTCCTTTTTATGTGTAGCTTCAGGAAGAGGAAGAGAATTTGTTCCCAGTAGTTTTCAATTTTAGAAAGTTAGGAGAAGTATTCTTTGTTTAAGAATCAAACTGTCCAAAGGGCAGAAATGTAAGGCTGTGACCAGTATCTTACCTTTCACTTTCTTTTATATGCAGCAATCTCTTGTTGCAAGTGTTTTTATCTCTCTCAGTGCTGCAGTCATCTTTATCTTGGATATTACTAACAGTCTTGGAGAAATCTCTTGATTAATCTCTTTCAATGCAGCCGTCTGGCTAACCCTTCTCACTTGCCCATATTTTGTAAGCTACATTGTCTTTTGAAATAATCTTCTCAGCTCTGAAGTCTGACAGTGCAATTGTTTGGGCATTAATAATAATCTCTTTGAGAAATGCCTTTAATGATAACATAATATCTCCATAATGGCCCATTGCTCTTTGATATTTATATCTTGAGCGAAATCTTGTGGAAAAATCTCCCTTATAGCCTTTTCTGTCTGAACTAATTGCTCTGTGTTTGGAATTCCTTTAGAGTCTTAAGTGTCTTCTCCACTTGTGCCGTTCCAAAATGTGGCAGATAATATCTTTACCTTGTGATGTGCTGCTTGGGCAGAGGAAGAAGCCGATCAAAATGTAGTCCTTCAATCCATTTGATATTGGACAAGAGAGGGAAAAACCTGCCTTTGAACACACACACACCATGCTTCATGAACTGATCTTGATGCAGCAGTGTGGGTGGGGTGAAAGCATCCCAGTCAGGGAATGCAGGGAGCAGAGGGAACAGAGCTGCCTAAGCAAGTGTCCTCCACACAGTGCATTAAGCTAAAGTTAAGTTCAAAAATAAAGTTCAAAAAGGCTCTTTATATTCCCCACTGGCCCTGGGAATAAACACAGCTAGGTCTTATTTTTGGGGTAGGCCTTACATTTTAGCAAGTACCAAAAATAGTCCTAGGTCTTATTTTTGGGGTAGGTCTTATTTTCGGGGAAACACAGTACTGTGGGCTTATCAAGGTGACAATTGTTTACTTAGGCCATCGTGTTCAATTCATAGACAACCTGGACTCCATCAGTGGCATTTTGCTTTTAGCAAGCTCTTGTTCCCCTGTTACACGAAGGGAGAAACCTGAGTAGGAGCAGGATTGCTCATGCAAAGCCTCTTGCTGCACCAGGAACCATGCATGCAAGTCAGCCCCCATGATACCCACCCATGCGGAGACGGGAGATGTGCAGTTTCCAGGGACCTGGTGCTGGCAAGGAGTATGTGAGCCTTCTCCCTCTTCCTTGCCACAGTTTATCAACCTGCCTACCTAGTTATCCCTCATTAGCATGTCAAGTCACTTTGCTAATCTGGAAAGGAACAGGTCTGCAGCTGGAGGGGTGACCACATGCGGAAACAGATCAGGGTATTGGACTTGATGGTTTTAGAGGCCCCTTTAAATCTCTCCACTCTTCTCTTATGCTTAAGAAGGAGAGAAAGCCTTCTTCACCCTTCTTTTTCCCCACTTGTACAGAAAGTCAACAGTACACTAGCACAAACAGAGTGGAAGCCTGGTGCTGGCAAGGAGTATGTGAGCCTTC